GCTCTTCTGATCATATATTGTATTGTAAGAAGTGATGACACCTTCACAGATGTTCCACTTAATCTAGCATTTATCGTGCAAACCTGCAGTGAATATCCACCATAGTAAAGTTTGAAGTCACCTATGGTTATTACGGATTCGAAGTGTTTCAAAAGTTAGTACTAAGAGGTTTGCACTGTGGAAAAATAACCAACTAAAGGCGAAAAATTCACCCCCTTCCCTTGTCTAATATTGAGTCCAAAATTTCGAAATTGATAACTTTTATTGTTTGCTTTTTTGAATACGACTACAAATGTGACATATATTAAATTAAGTGAATCGGTTTAGCGGTACTTTTGAATTGATATGTATAATAATGATAAGACAGAGGTTGACTGACTTAGTTTCAGCATAGAACTTTACACTGAAGTGCATCGGTTCAAGTTGCCACACTCCATGTAGTACAAAAAGGTGTAGGAAAGAAGTTCAGAAGAACTACAATGAGCAGTAGTGTTCGGGAGGAAGAATAGTAACATGGAAAAAGACAATGGTTTAGTGCAAAGATTAAATGTACCTGTGCCATTGAAAACGATTTTGAGCCATGTCACCAATAGTCTGCGGCCATTAGTTATTAGCATCTCGAGCCCCTCGGGAGGAACAGACGAGGATGTCAAATCGAGAATCGGAAAGGCGAGAAACACATTCATCAACCTGAAACTAATCTGGAAATCTCCTTCACTCAGCATCAACAACAAAATTCGGATTTTCAATACAAACGTCAAGTAAGTTCTTCTATACGGATCATAAACTTGGTGGGTCACAAAGAATATTTCCAACAGCCTGTTGCAGACCTTTATCAACAGCTGTCTTTGTTCTATACTCAAGATCAGATGGCCGGAAAGAATCACCAATAAGAACCAATCGCTCAACAAATATGCAGGAGAAAGTGGAGATGGATTGGACACGCTGGGTGACATCGCGCGTCAGGCCATAGCTCGAGTGGAACCCGAAAGAGAAGCGGCGATTGGGACGTCCAAGGGTGACATGGAGGAGATCGTGTGAAGAGGAGTTGAAACAGTATGGACTAACATGGATGCAAGTGAAAAGTACAGCAGAAGACAGAAGCAAGTGGAGAGGTGCAGTTGAAGCCCTATGTTCCACTAGGAACCCAAGGGAACAATAATAATAATAATCTCGAGCCCCTCAACCAGGCAGTCTAGGTGGCTCACTCAAACCAACGTCAAAGACTTAATGGATTGGTGCCAGATTTTGGTTTGACCACCCCTAACTGTCTTCTAACTTGATCCTATGTCAGCTAACATTGCTTGTCGAGGGAGGCGGTAGCCCGTCATGCATAGCACGTGTGTTCTAGCTGTCTCAAAATAGAAGTTATTACTCACCCTCGTAGCATAGGTGGATAATCATTTTAAATATAATTCTCAATTTGAGAATTAATTTGCCATTTGTATATGTTTATAGCACTTTGATTTGACTAGCAAGCACTAGCGGTTGATGGGAGCGGTATCCTACTACTTACATCAATCAGTCAAGTAGTATGTAGCGTCATGGATAATCAATTTTCTTCGACTATCTAATACTATATACTGAATCCTTCACAGAAAATTTCTTAGTCAAGCAGAAATCCTCGTTAGTCTTAATCACTCAAATCCATATACCGTCAAGTTTCTAGTCAACTGCTTCTTCTACAATAGCTTATGCTTACAAACCTCAAGCAGGTCTGTTCTCTAATGCAACTATTGGATGGAGTTTAATCGATAGATAAACCATTCCATTTCTTTGTTTATCAACCTTGTACAGTAAAGACTAACAAAGAGACCAGTTAACTCATTGCAAATAAGCATGCAACTAAACTTAAGACATAACAGTATTATTTTCATGCATTTATTCCCCTTTATGAATTGGAATAAAGCAAGAATAATAGTTTTTGAAGAATAATATGGGATACCATCATTGTCTATTTCGTTGACTTCTCATCAGCTGCTTACAGCTTGCAAATTTTACATGATATCAGTTGACAGGAGGTTCTAGACTTAGTAAATAGTGCTCAGAAAATTACGCTTATATAGTTTTTACACAGGGAGTTCAAGTTTAAATAGAGTAAATGTCGGCATACACCGGTAAAGGAGTTACATAATAAAGACGAGAGATGCGTGAGATGACGAGTAACTAATAATGTACTGAGTTCAACTCAAATCATAGAAACAAGAGACAAGTGAAATTTTCACTATGGCAAAGAAGGGGAGTGAGGTTAAAGCCAAAGATTATGTGACGAAGTGAAAGAGAGAATAAAGACATCGAGTTACCAGGCGAAGGAAAGACTGATAACTGCTTCTTTCTGAACACACAAATCGGGTTTCAGGCGTTTGATAGAAATTGCTTCGGCACCTCATGACTCGTATCAAGGAGATGTCTGGTAATGGCACTAATGTAAGCGCTTGTTCCCTTGAGACGTTCACCTTTCGGTTACTGTACTGTAGGCAGCTGGAGAGAAGCCAACGAAATAGACAGTGATGGTACCCCCATATTATTCTGCAAAACCTGTTGTTCTTGCTTTATTCAACCAATATTAATCGTCGAGTTAAGATGATACAAATTACATTGATTACTTTTACCTTTCGATTAAGTTTTCATTCTGTGTAAATCTTTACAAGCAATTAAATGTGATTGACAGACAAAGTCGGTGTACACAATTAATTTTATTATGTCTAGTGGGGTTTCTTTTCTCCATCAGTATACTTAGAAGACAGTAGAGCATTAAATATGTTAGAAGTCAACCAGTAGAAAGCTTTGGAATTCAAAGGGCCTATCTAGGTGTATCTGCTGGTACACATTAACAAAATATATTTGAATTAAGAGCGTATAGGTCACTGAAGGCAATCTATTTATTCCCTTTGCGAAACTTCTCTTCAAAACTGTACAGTTGTTTAGGCGTTAATGTGTGCAATGTTAATTGACAACAAAATCAGTACTAGTCAAGACTCTGTACTAAGTGAGCTAGGAGAATATGCTCTGCAGAGAAATTAGAGGAAGAATTTATTATTCTCTCGAAAAGACGTTGAAAAACAACGGTTACTCTCAGAGACTCATTAAAAAAATGTGGGAGATGTGAAAAGGCTCAAACATCAAACAAATTACAGTAGGCAAAAAAGCCTGTCTTCCTTCAACTCGATTTTAGAAGTGAAAATATTGCAGCAATTGTCAACTGAAGATTGAAGACGTCACTATGGATTGCCTTTAATGAAGCAAGCAGATGTCGGTGAAATCCTTTTGTGAACGGCTTGATCCGTTACTTTAACAGAAGTCCTGTGCTGGTGCTGTATGGCCAGAAGTAATAGTGTGGTTTAGAATCGAACTGTTGACTATTCTGCGTTCTCTTTCAATAGCCACCATACTTGTAAATGTTCGTGATTAATTCTAGATAATATCCTGCTGGTACATACGGTCTATGTACTTAACTCCACAGGGACAAATAAATTGGTAAATACACGTTGAAGTTGCCAACAGTCGGATCTTGTCTTTGACGTTTCGATAAGCAAGAGCATATGTGGAGGTGGGAAGTAGAGAGGCGACCAATAATACTCTACGGATTGCTCTCAACAGACAGGTTCGGAGAACTCTATTAGTTGTTCCTTGGGTAATAAAGCCAGTTATATTTTTTGATTACAACTGGCTTCCTGAGAAACTAAATTATCAACCTTTTGCATAACTTTTAGGCTGGAATTAAATATCACAACTTAATAATGATACAATTTTAACACCTACTCTCTATCATTGTATTTTAATAGTGTATAGAAACTCGTCTTGCTTCTAGCGATGGAACTACCGGAAATCTTGCTACACCTGCTGCACCAGAAGCGACACCAGTCATTCCAGGCGGTGGAGGAGTTGGTTGGAACTGGGAAGTTGTTGTCGGCGGTACACACTTGTTGACACCAAAAGTATTTTTAGACAATCTGGAGAATATGGCAAAAATTATTATGCCACCAGTCTCCACTACACCAATACCTGAATCTATACTTCGTCGGGTTTCTCTTCAACCACCGCATCGAGGATAAGTTTGTTGCTGACGCATAGCTTAACCATAACATATCATCCTGGCTATCTATGCTGCGTTGCATTGAATGAATGAATTAATTTCTGTTTTTATAACTTTTTTTTCTCTTTTTTTGCTATCATACAAAATTATTTGTTCTTCAGATACTTTGTTTAATAATAAGTGACGCTTTTTAAATTGGAAAACTGTATTATTCCACGATAGCTATTATCTATGACTTTATATACATATGAATGACTTTTGGTTTAAATTTTAGTTGTGATCAATAGTAGCGATTCTGTTTTCTATCCACAACATATCTCAGCGGAATAATTATTCATTTATATTTTCTTAATTTTTATTATATTTCTAGCTTATTTAATAATCATTTTAATGTGTATTGCTTTTTTTCATTTTTGGATGTATTCTTTAAATATACGTGAAACAAAGAAATGTTATCATTACTATGCTGTTGGGTTCCGAGTGGAGCGTAGGGCTGGCTTCAACGACACATCTCCACTTTGGTCTATTTTCTGCTGTCCTCTTCAGATGGCTAGCTCCACAATTGCCCATAATCGCTCATCTCCCGCAACTCACACAATCCCCTCCAAGTCACCCTCGGCCCAACGTCCCACTAGAGCAATGGCCTGTATTGCGCGCGATGTCATTCGACGGTCTCCTCAGAGTATGCCCTATCCATCTCCATTTTTTCCGACAGATTCGTTGAGCAATCAGCTCTTAGTTGGTTCGTTGCATTGCAGAGTTTCTTGTTGCTAATTTTTTTCCGGCTGGCTGGCCATTTGATCTTCAGTATGGAGCCAGCCAGCGAAGTGGTCAGCTGTTGATACAAATCTGCAACTTGTTGGAAATCCTTTTCATCAAATGCACTGCAAGTTTCTGACCCGTATAGAAGAACTGACTGACTTCACGTTTGTGTTGAAAATTCGAATCTTGTTCTTTATACTGAGTGAGTTAGTGCAGAAGATTTTCAAACTGGTTTCAGGTTGATGAAGGTGTATCTTACCTTTCCGATTCTGGCTGGCTTTGACATCTTCATCCTTGCTGTCACTTGTGGTTGAAACCGTGTTTCCTGGTCAGATAAGTGAAGGAAGTAACCTCTGTCAAATCTCTCCAGTTGATGGTGATTGGTGGCGGTTGTTGTTGCTGTTGGTTGGTTATCTTCATCACCTCCGTCTTCTCTGTGTTCATCTGGAATCCTGTCTTCACTGACGGCTTCTTCAGCCAGTCTGTTGTTTTTCGCCTTTACGTCTTCGAGTTTGTGTAACATTAAACATAAGCCATCTTCGAAATCCAGATCTTCTAGAGTCTTCTAATCGATCCAGCGTATTCCTGATGAGGCTTAAGTAGTTCGTTGTATGCTCAACTTTTAGTTGGTTTCAGTCATGGTAAGAGAATCAATTTGGTGGATGATGGCTAATAGTGGAATCCTCCAGGGCAATGCACATTTCATCCCACTTGGACTTATCAGATAGATGTACCTGTATCTCTCCGATGAGTGGTGGTGTTCCCACCGAAGCACTGTCCGTTAGACCACTTGGGCCGTGAGAGACACCACCTCTTGTGCAACGGTTATGAGTTATTATTTAGCTGAACTTGGACCTTCGCGTTGACTGATTGGTCTGACATGTTCTGTCTGTTGACATGTCTTCTCCTTGTGCGGATGCTTCGACAATGTCTGATTATTTAACTTGGAGTAATTTGGTGAATGGTGACTAGCAGTAAAATCCGGGATGTGCATTTCGTCCTCTTTGGGACTCGGCATCTGAACGTACCTGCAGGTGCAAACTGAGTTAAATGATAACAATGTTTAGATGATGGGATTTGCGAGGGTTTGAATTGATTTAATTTCAATTGTTCGATTTTGTCAGGAACCAAAATCAGTTAGAGTGATCATTGAAAACAAGGCGCACTAGACAGTTGTTTTGTCCTATTTTAGGACTCTTCTACAGTTCCCACCCACCAAGTGAAATGGATGCTCAGCGAAGGTATTGGTGAGAGTAGATAAAGTTAAAATTCACAGGTCATTGAATTCTAGCCCAAGTAGCTGAATGGTCATCGAGCCTAGTCTCGTAACCTGAAAGTCCCGCGTAGTTCGATCCCCGGTAGAGGTGTGGGTGCGCAATGTTGAAGAGTCCTAAAATAGGACGAAACAGGTGTCCAGTGCTTCCTGGTGGTTTTCAATGATTTCGCTAACTGATGTTGGTTCCTGACGAAATCTAACAATTGAAATTAAATAGAATACTTGTCAGTAAATGTATTAGTGGAAGGATAAGAATTGCCGTTTATTCTGTTTCTCAGTAAATTATTAGTTTCATTTCTAACACTTTTCTCATCACGTAAAATGCCTGCCAAATAGAGTATCGTATAGTTTTTATATTAAGTCGTTTACAATTGCTTCTAGTCCTACATGATGAGATGGAGGAAGAAAGTTGTTCTCGGAGTCCAACAAGATGATATTCGCCAATTTCTTGCATAAGTTTGAGTATCTGTCCACAATAATACTAACGAGTTGGCTTAGCAACAACCCACCCGGGCTACTGATAGCTTTCATCACCTTTCGCAATATAACAAGGTCTTTCTCAAGTAACCCAAGAAAGACTAAAGGATAGCAATAAAGAAGAATAAGTAGAATACAAGAATTAACAAGCTATAAGAGTAGAGATTGAGTGTTACTAAACTATCTAAACTCCCTTACGCAGAAAAGGTTAGACGAAACATCTTCCTAGGAATTAACATAATGTAGGAAGACCAGGAAAGACATAATGCAAGGTTTTTAACATTTGACTTAGTTTCAATTTCAGTGTCGTCCGTGATACAAGAATCATGAGAACGAACGAGTTCACCTAAATCATATTTATACCTGAAAATCTGACATTTATAGGGATTCAGCTTAAGACCGTTTGAACGAGACTACTGAATAATTCTTGTTAGAAAGTTATTCATTTTGGAACAGTGTGATTGAGAAATAACCGGTATGGAGACAGTCAGATCATCAGCATACTTGACTTCATCAGAATGAGACACGTTATGTAAACAGAAAGAACAGCGTCTTGGGGCGAGGACACGAGTTGCAATTAAGGGATAATGTCATTGCTAAATCACCGAAGATACCCATTGAGTCATGAAGAAAATAAAAGACAGATTCAGCGAAGAAAATTTGGTGAACTCAGGCCACGTAGCTCCACCAGAATCGTCTTTCAAGATCATCTACAAAGTGAAGCCAAATGGTACAAAGGGCGTCAGGTTTCGGCTTTTGTGTATGGCGGAGGCTCTGGCAATTCATCAATACAACCCTGAACTCTGTATACAGAAAAAGTTTGTCCAGTCTCTTATTCTACCTTGGTCTTAACCTCTTCACTAATCGTTCCTTGTAAATAAAATATATTTTGATTTTTTCTTTTCATTCTAATTTCACTTTTAGTTAGCTTTTACTTTAATAATGAATTCACTATTATCACTCTCATATGCTCCTTATGTATATTTTCACACCCTGTTCACACTTGTTAAATTGACACTCAAATACCTTTATTCTCACTCAATAGCAATTTTAACCTTATCAAATTTCTATCTTTGTGCCGTTGAGTACCACGTAATTTACAACTTTTAATTTTCACTTCTAAAGCCACTTGTGAGTAATTATATCAATTATGTCACCCCCTATTACTCAATAATAGACCACTATATATTTTTGTAAGTATAAATACGATTGTACAGCCTCTGAAGATGATTTCGTCGATAAAGAAAATTTTCTTCGCTGAATCTGTCTTTTATTTTCTTCATTGCTACATCTCGACAAAACGGTTTCATTGTGCTGTTAGTGTCAGCTGTAATCTAAAGCAGAAGCTAGTCAGAATTTGAGACCTCGGTAAGTGGTAGTCTGAGTTAAGGCAACAGGATTAGTTATATCAATAATTGTCACGATTAGCAAGGGAGCCTTCGTATTTCCAACTCCTACTTCTTCTGTTATTGTAATAGTGACTACTAAGAGGACTCACTGTTTTCGTCAAATGCTTAATTAGTGAACAAGTACTCTTAAATTCATGCTCTTATTGGTTTGTATTGAATAGTTGATGGTCTTTCACCTGAAAAGTAAAATGCCGATGAAGCAATTTTAAAACATTCTAAATACGTGAATTCCTTCGAAAGGATTGGAGTTTAAACTCACCTATTCACAAATAGTACTTTTTCACTCATATATCCTGAACAGTTACAGGTAATGTCTACCTCGTAAACGCCCAATTTTCATTCCTACACATGTATCGTTTCTCAATGTTAACTCATATATCTATGCATCTGTGTCGACAACCCACATGTCTGTTGTGTGGTGATTAAGAGCGTGATAGCAAGTGAAGCCATTTTTAATCAAACTGTACTATTTTACGTAATATAATCTTTAAAAACTGTATTCTGTTAGGAAATATAAACTATGGGTGTGAGTACCGTGTGATTAGCATCTTTATTCAATGCTTATGCTCTGCAGGTGGGTTCACGAGCTGACATCATCTAGAGAACCACTGTAAAACCAGAGAGTACTGGGTAGTCATTTTGTCTTAGTCTGGGACTCGTCACAGTACGCACTCACTGGGATTCGAACTCAGCACCTCCCGCTTACTCTTTGCATGTTTAGAACTATGATAAATTCGTATCTCCAAAGAAATAATCTCACCATAGCCATTCAGTTGATGCAAGTCCAGGAAAACAACATGTCTTTGATATGCTTCTCTTTCTTGTCACAAATACAATAATCTTGATTCCTGCGCACATCTCAGATTTAAAACGATTGCAAGATACAACATGAATTGTGAATCTCCAGTTGGTAATTGTTGTAATCATAATTAAGACTGAAAATGTTTGATGAGTTCTGGACCAAGACTGCTGTAGCGATGGATAATCTCCCAAAGTTACTACCCTACAGTTTTCATCATTCAACGTTGTGTGCTGACCTTCACTGTTTAAGTATCCCCACTATTTGACACACCGTCGTATTACCTTCATTCAAGCAATGTAGCTAACTAAGCAGATATCGCTGTTCTACACTTCTGATTCCGACTATCAACTTGTTGTCTGCTCTAAGAAGAACAAGTAGGTTAGGAGTTGGGGGGATATAAACTTTATATATATATATACGTGTATCTCGCGTACTTGTCAACATCCATCATTTCCTAGATTGTATTTACAATCAAAAAGGTTATAAAAGCTTGGATGCTAGCAGTCAAATAACACGGGGCAAGTTGTAGCTATCACAATGAAGACCAAAATGCTGATACTTAACAGTCACGTGTAATTGTATGAAGTTGGCACTGAGCCAAACCTATTGTGTGAGGTCTTGTCAAAATACCTGGCAGCCCAAACCTAAGTAAGTGAAGCCAGGTTTAATTCCGTCATCCATTGGTTGGAAGTCAAACGCTTTGACCAATGAGCCACTATTCCACGTCGAAGAAGACATCCCTGTGACATACAGGTTTAACTTTGATTCTTTTAAAAGAATTCGCAGCAACGCCAAACAATTGTTTTTGTTACTTCTATGTCTGTATTTACTTCTAATCCTGAAAGACATCATACATTATTTACTACAAGCTTCATGAGTTTTTTTTTCATTGCTGTGATACTTGGAAATATAGCATCATAGTCCTTTATATGACGATCGTAGAAATATATCTTCATATTCTCAAGACGTTAGCATGAGACTTATCTAATCTGCAATGGTTAGTGAAATGCTGAAGATGCTAACTAATTAGCATAACCTACCATCCAAACAAGTACGTGAAAACGATGAAATGGTAAAAATCTAAAATTCAATTAAATAATTAATATGACCCGTTGCACAAGAGGTGGCTCTCGTGGCCCAAGTGGTCTAGTGGATAACGCTCTGGCATTTGAAACTATGGGCACTGGGTTCGAGCCTTGGTGGGAACATCATCACTCACTGGGGAGTGCAGGTACATCCAATTGACGAGTCCCAAATAGGACGAAACGCGCATCCTGGATTTCACTGTTAGTCACCATCCACCAATTAAATTCTGTTTTTAAAATATTCGCGGAATAATAGTATTTATTAACTCTAGGGAAATGAAGTTGATGGATACTCCGAGAGTAGAAGACAATACCAATAAAAAATGTTTATTTACATGTGGCCTGTACACACAAAAATGTGTTTTCATTGATTTAGCATCTCACAATTTACAAAAAATACAAAACATCTCACGAGTCTACAAGTATTCGTCATTGTCAACCTTAGTATCGTAGAGAAACTCTTATAACTTTCAAACTTCTATCTGAAATTAAGCAATGCTGACAAGAGATCTCCTTGTTTGCCTTGAGGGCGACGAGGAAGTATTGAAGCTCTAGAAAAGTCATTATACATTAATTAAGGTGTAACTTACAAAGAACGTTGTGTATCACA